AAAGTAAAAAAAATTCACTTGAGTTTTCTGTAGCAGCTAGGTTCAACAGAAAGGCATTGTGAGTTCAAATGGAATGATAATGGTAGGTAGAAATAAAGAGGAATCATTTATACTTAAAATGCCATCTGATTAGCATGTTTCATGTTCTCATACCTGTTGGGGTTTTCTTTTTTTTTGAACTAAAAAATCTCTCATAAACACTAAAAATCAAAAAGCTGATACTGAGATTTTTCTCCATCTATGTAACTGATTCTTAGAATATATTGCCTTTTATTTTAGATCAAAGCATCAAAACTGTCTTTGATCCAAAACAGCCACGCAAATCCCGCATTTACCTCTGAAGTCAACCTATTTATAATCAGATTTTTTTTAAATCCCTGATTTTCTTTTTATCCCTGTGATTCAAAGGGGGTTAGTGATAGTACAACTTTGAGAGCAACAGCTGTGCTTTGTTCCTGAAGCAGTCCTATTTACTAACACAGGAAATCAAAAATGCAAAAGCTACCAGTCAATCAGGAAAACAGCATTGTGGATGTCAGGGCTTTGCAGGTACAAATTAGGGAATTAGTTTTTGCCTGAACAGCTGTATATTTACTAAGTAATTTACTTTCTTTTAAACTAGAGTTATCCTCTTACATCAACAGAAGAAGTACCAATTAAAATCACTATTCATCAATGATTGTCCTAACACAAGGCTTGAGCAATAGAGCTCATCAACTATAATTTTAATCATTGTATCTTGGAGTTTTCAAAAGGAATAATTTGGGGTGAGGGAAAAATTCAAAATCTTAGTTACTGCTGACATGAAGGCAGATATTTCTGAGGATGATTAATGTATTTAATTAACTATTCAGTTTTTAGATACTAGATTTTTTTCCCTTTTCAGTGAATTACTTGCTAGGCACTGACAACAAAGTGGCGAATATGATAATAGCCTTTCTCCTCATGCAGCTTACATTCAGTGGGAGAGAATATTACATGAGAAGTCATAATTACAAATAGTAATTATACACACTATGCATATAGCAACTATATAAGCACTTTAAAGGAGGGAAACAGAGTCTGAGAAACAACACTGGGGAGGTGCCAGTTTATCTTGGTAAGTCTGGGGACTCTTCAAAGAAGAGGGTGACAATAAGCTGTCACACGAAGGATGAAAGTCATTCACATGCCTCACATTTGTATGGCTCAGAACACAGTTATCCAAAATATGGCACCTTGGAGGTCACTCGCTGACCTTCTCTCATCTTTCTTCCCTGAAACATGGTCATAAATAATTATTTGACCTCCCTCCCCTAAAACGAGGCTGTTAAGACCCTCATTCCAGAGGGGTCCTACCTTATGCCTGGAGGTCAAGAAGCCTGGACAAACAGGCCCTGCAAAGTCCCCCCTGCCAGCTTATTGTCCAGAAAAATAGTTTTACCTGGGCCTTTGGAGCTTCATCTCGGAAGGTTCTTGTTTCACATAAAATGTTGGTTAAATAAGCTTGTTATGCTTTTCTTTTGTCAATGTCTTTTGTTATAGGAAAGTCAGCCATGAACCTTGCAATGGGTAAGGAAAAGAGATGACTTTTTCTCTCCTACATGTTCTTCTCTATTTGGTTAGCATCCCTCTTTGTGGTCTTCCCACCATCTCCCTGGCCATTCTGACTCAGCCTTCATGGGGAATCCTTCCTCCTCTACCTAATCTCTAAATGCTAAAGTTTTTCAGGGCTAAGTTCTAGATCTTATTTTCTTCTAATTCCAAAGAGCGTCCCAAGGCATCTAACCCATTTCTATGACCTCACATGTCATCTATGTGTCAACAATTCTGTAATAGACTTTACTATATAGACTTCTTAGATTTGGGTCCGTATGTCAACCTCCTATGTGACTTCCTCACTTGAATACCTCAGAAGAACCTCATTTAGTATAAGCAACACTGAAAGGTGTTTCACTCTCAACTCTTCTCCTCCAGTGATCTTCATCTCCCTAAATAGAATCATTCATTCAGTTGCTGTATCCTGATTACTGATACAGCAACCAAATGAATGATTCTATTTAGGGAGATAGACATGACACCTGTTTCTCTCTCATCTCCCATAATAATTGATAATGAATTGATAATCAATAGTTGATAATTCAGCCCTGTCTAAATTGACAGCTAAAATGTATACTAAATATCACATTTTCCCATCTCTCTTGCCATCAACTCTGGCATAGGACATTACAAGCCTTTTTTTAGTCTTCTATCTATTCTTGTTCCCCTCCAATTCATTGTCCTAAATGAAAATCTTTTCCAATAACTTTTAGTTCTTCTATTGTTCTAAAGATCAAGTCTAAAATCATCACAATAGTCTCTAAGACCCTTCATGATCTACCCACTGCTTGATCCTTTAGTCTCATATTATGTCAATCTTCACATTATTCTCTATGCCTCAGTCAAAATAGGCTTTTTCAGTTTTTTAATTTTTTAAAAAAGGACATTCCTTTCTTAAAGAATTTTTACATGATGTTCCTTCCACCTGGAACATCATAGATCTCCCTACTGTGTATTACTGAAGTGACATATTCTTCTCTATATCAGACAAGGGTGCATTTGGCTGCAACTAACAGATTACCCAATGGAGATGGTTTCAGTAGTAAGAACATTTAATTTTAACCACTGATATCACAAAGTCTGAAAGGAGTCACGTTTTGGGGGTGCAACGTTTCAAAATTACCCCAATCCAAGACTTTCCCTTTGTTTCTGTCATTCTGTGCATATTAATTTTTAAAATTTAGGGTAATTGCCTTACGGTAACAACCCATATATCAAGTCTGATGCAACTGCATTCAAGGTAGAAAAATGTGAGAAGAATGCTTTCGTATAAAATTCTTCTCAAGGTCCTCATATTTTCCTACATCACATTAGACATATCTACGTCATGTGGAAACTGCAGGGGAGGCTAGTTAGGTGAATACTGGGAGATGGGCAAGAAGAGAAGGAGGCTGGAATGCCTGTTGATTTTTACAATCAACAGAGTCTGACATTCGTTGGTGCACTTATCAAAATAGCAGTTAAAAAATTAAATATCTGCATTTTGTTCATTGTCTTCCCTGTGAGATTAAAAGCTCTTTGTCTCTGAGGAATATGTCTAATTCAATGCTATAAGAGCCTAGAATCGCACAGTGTCTAGCCTACACAAATCATTTATGCTGGTTGATGGAATGAATTAATGATATGGAAGAGAGAATAACAGGTAGAAACCAGGTACAAAAGAGATAGAAAACTGCCAACACAAAGCTTAAACTGATTGCCATATCTCATATCTCATGGTTCAGCTTTCTATTCCATTTAAATTGAAAACAGTCTTTTCATTTAAAAAAAAAAAATCAGGTAACTTTTTGAAAGTGCTCAGTTCTTTGCACAGTGAATAGAATTCCCCTAACCTCTTAATTCATGCCATGAAAACAGACATGGTTATTATTGTCACTAAGATCCAGGAATGAATTCTTTTTCTTTTTTTTTTTTTTTAATAAAACCCTGTTAAGGAGTTATATGATCCAGAAAAATTTAAATTGCCTCCAGTACATAAATGTAATTCAGTTGTTGGCTAAATTACTCAAATATTTAACAAGAAAAGTGTATGAAAGCTAGAAAGTTATTTAAGAGTAGTCATAAAATTTTTAGTCTAAGTTCCCCACTTCTTAGCGTATCACACCAACAGATAAGTTTGTCATTCAGATTGTCTGATTTAGGTAGAAAGCACATGTAAAATATCTCACTCATTAAGTATGCTTGACACATTTTTGTTTTTATACCTAGACCAAAAGAAAACTTGAGTAAATTCCTATCTCTGTACCATCCTAAATGTGTACCTATGGGCAAGTTGATTACGTTCTTTGGTTCACAATCAATATAGTAATCTTAAACTACCTTTCAGTTACAAATACAGTCACACCACAATTTTAAAACTTAAATTTAAAAATTAAATGGTATTGAATACATTCAACTATATCCAACCTAATACAACATTAAGGAACTGATTCATACTCCTGGTGGTGTCTATTTCTATAGAAGCAAAACCTGTTCCTAGTTTCTGATGGACATTCTGTTTGATCATGTCAAAATGCACAGGGCACTAGCATATAAATATCACAATTTCTTTACAAAGTTGTAAATAGCTACACATGCAAGACTAGGTTTCAAGTTTTAAAAATAGTTTTCATTTGAAATAAAATTCCTTAAAAACAGAAAATGACTTTAACATTGGCAAAGGGAGTCCCCTAAGAAAAAAATGTAAACAGATGGCTGAGAAAGATCACCCACATGCTGAACACAGATCTTGAGGAGGCATTTCTAAGAATGAAGTAGCACTTCCCAGCCTGGGCCACTTCCCACAAGGATCCTTATTTAACCCATGGAAAACACAGAGTTTATACCTCCGGCCAACAGGAGCCTCAACTTTTTTCCCACTTGCCTCACAGTTACCAGACAAGTTTCCAACTCTCCCTAGCATTCCAAAAGAAGCTAAGTACCAACCACTTGGGATGAGCAATCCCCTAATAAATCAGTGTTCAATGATCAGCCCTGAACAAATGTCTTCCCATATAAACGGGCTGTTAAGCCCTAGCTAAGCGTATTAAGTATTCAATTTAATGTATGACACACATCTGTTCCACTTTCTCAGCAGAAGTTTCAAGATAACTTAAATCCCAGACTTAATCAAGGAGAAAAAAATCTTGGCAATGTTTAAAACTGAGTTTTAAAATATAATCCAAATGCGGGTGAGAGAGACCATTTTGCTGTACTAATGAGATTATATAATACCTAAATCAAATCCACAAAATTACCTGAGCAGAATCACTAAATATTTTATCTAGGCTTCTTTGTCTTTCATTTAGAGACCATCAACATTTCCCAAAGACCTTCAATTTACACTTTGCCCAAGTCGCCAAGAGGTGAGCAAAAATGAAGCCCTTGGCAAACACAGTGACTTAACCTCCTTGAAGCCTAAAGAACACAAGAGGAAAACTTACAGATTTGTCTTTCACAAGGAGAGCACAGCACTGGATCCCAGCCATCAGCATCTTGTGTGGGTTCCAGGCCACAGAGTCAGCCCTATTTTTTAAACATAAGGGACAGAGAAGGGAGGAGAGGACTCAATTAGTTTCCACAGGCAATGGAGTACTATCATTATCAGTATCTACGTTCAGTACTCATACAGTTTACTGTTCTACAGAACTCCTTGTCTGAGTGGTTTAAGGAATTCGGTTTTGTTTTTTTGTGGTTTTTTTTTTTTTTTTGGTTTATTTAAGGAAAACAATTACTTTTCTTCCCTATTTTCAAAATATCATTTAGTCCAAAGAGATCCCTTTGCCTGACAAAAGTTGGCTGTACACCAGGAAACTACGTTTACCTGTGGATGCCATGCAGAAGCTTGCGGTGCTTCCTCGACATCAAAGCTGAGCCACCCCAAGAAGCCTGTTGAGATATTTACAGTACCAAAACAATGTTATTTCAATGTTATTTGTTTGCCAGTGGATTGTTGTAGAAAACCCTCAGTGATGACCTCAATCTGCATTATTTGATATTTCTTTTTATGTCATGTTACCTGATTTGTACCCCAGGAAATTCTGATCACTGGTTCTACTCAGGCAACCAGAACCTCATCACAATGGATGGGCCCTCACTGACCCTTAGAATTTTAAATTCACACGTCATATGTTGGTATATTAACCAACTGAGCTATGTGTGGATGAAGAGGTTCAAAGTCTATGCCCTCTTGTAGCTTAGACTCTAACATAGACAACATCTTCACAATGCTAACATTTTGCCATTCAGTGTTTAATGAGACATGGGCTAAGGACTAGCATTCTACACAATGAACAAGGCATATTATTGACATGGTAGATAGAAGACCAACTAGAATGATCTAGGTGGAAATATCTGTTAATGAAAAATTAGATCATTTTAGCTAAATGGCTTTCAGAAATATCTGCAAATGAAACAAGGACAAATGAGAGAGAGCAAGCTTGGGACATAAGGAGAAGTTATCCACAGGAGAAATAAATTTTGTGAGCAAAGGAGAGGGGAGCTCAGATAAAATCCCATTGTCAACAGGTCTGGAACAAAGGGAGAAAAATTGATGTAAGAAATACAAAAGTTAGTATGCTTCTTGAAAATGGAGCAGACATAAATTTTAATTTGTAGGGATGTTAAAGGATAACTGTATTGAGAATTTGAGGGGACTAGCTTGGGCTGTATTGAATGCTTTCCATGTTTATTTAAACCTTATAGCATTCCATTAAGAATGGAGTTATGATCACTTCCACTTCTTATAAAGTTCAGAGGTGTTCAGGTAAATTGTCCAAGGTCTTGCCAATGACAAAAATCAGATCTGAGATTCAAAGCCTATTCTCTTGTCATGTTAACATCATTACTTTAAGGAAAGTGACAATTTGGCCAAAGTAGGGAGTATAGCATATGCAATGAGGGTGACAGAGATGCTTCAGGCAATAGGTAAGTTCAGGAGTTGCTTAGGATGTAGCAACTTCTGTTTTTGGCTATGGAATTTAAAGGCATAGATAGACCTTAATATGTAGAAGGAAGCGGCAAGGTTGTATGCACCACAGATATGGAAGATAAAGAAAATGAAGTATCTCCATGATCCTCAGAGTATTACAAAAGCTGGGCCCATTGGTAGCCAATAATGAGAAAGTAGAGCACAAGCAACTTTGTGGCCTTAAATCCCACTTAAAAACAACTTTCATTGACAGCTGAGACTAGGGTAAAGTGAATGAGTCAATAGGGTGCATAATTCAAGGAGGAACTCAGTCTCAGAGCTGGACTCTTGCAAGGCCCTAAGAGTGAATCCTTCTCAAAATTTGAGCCCTGCGAATCCCACTGGCCTCATTAGTACCAGCCTTGATCCCATGGACTAGAGTCTCCAACAACTCGATGGGGTCCCCAGAGGCCTGTGAGGTCTGATGTGTTTCAAGGATGTTGTGTGTTCAAATCCCAAAGATTCCCAGGTAAAGGATTAGTAACTTAGTATTGTCAGTCAAGTTCCTTTCCTGTTGCATTTTCTCCCTTACTTGGATTCACAATGGACCATGTGTGACTAAGGCTGAGCCACAAAGGCAAATGTCCTCAGCATCTAGGAAAATTTTATCCCAGCCTACACCTGAGGATCTACAGATCTGGATTTTGAGAACTTGGTCCTTGCAAATATTAAGATGAGTTACATATCCCATTTTTCTTGACTTTCATTACATATCCTAAATCCTAAATTACCTACTTTTCTCACTTCTCTTATTGCCCAACCTCTCTGAGAACCTTTCAGTGACAACTACAGGAAGGATTAATTAGTCTACTCAGCCACACCTGTTTACTCGCTAACCCTTTCCACCTGCCTCATACCCTACACTTCTACCCCTTCATGCTCCTTGAGCTAGCGTCTGCCTCCATTCCTTCTCCAGAAAGGTAAATAATCATCTCCCAATTCTAGTGAACTGGATTTAAGTTTTGAAATCACAAGAACTCTTTCAAGGTATTAGTTCACCAGTTTACAAAGTACTTTGGCAGGATTAGGAACAGCTCATCCATAAATTTATTCAAAAAATAAATAAATAAAACACTCCTGATGTAAATGCCGTACTTTAATTTGCTTTACTCTAATTCCTAACTCCAGAACCTGTGAAATTATCAAACCAATCACCTAAATGATGGAGTTTGGCTTTCCATCTCAATAAAGACTGTCATTTATTAAGCTCTTACTATATGTGAGGCACCACAGTTTATCATTTTTTATATATTTGTCTTTAATTGGTTAATAAATTAATAGTAGAACCAATCCTGAAAGGGAAGTGAAGGAAGGAATGGAATTGAGATTTGGCAGCCTCTAAAGCCCAGGATTTTAAATATGTTTGCTGCCTTCTATGGGACTTGGAATGAAGAATGGGTGACAGAATAGGAAGCTTTGCTGGGAATGAGGCTTCCAGCAGCTACAACCTCTGATTTAAAGAAGAGCTAGACCAGTCTGACATTTTGCTCTCAGACAGAAGCTCGCATAACAATTGCCTTTATGAAGGAAGAACTGTACTGGAGGTGAAAGAGTCTAATAAAACTAGTTTTTCTTATTCGGTTGCTTAAAAATGCATTATATTACCAAATTTGAAGACACTATCAAATGTAAGCATCCCCATTTTTTGTGTACTACTAATAAAAATTGACATCAAAATACCAATTTCAGATGTTAAATTTTTTTCAAATAAGTGCATCTTAGAATTAATAAAACATGATATGTATGCAGAGCAGTAATGTTTTACTGAAAACTCAGAACAAGTAAATGTCCTTTCATTTTTAAAAAGAGAATGTCAGTTTTTAGTATTTTAAAGAAGCTTTAAAATGCCATTTAGAAGATTTCCAACAGGTCCAAGCAATTATTGCAATTTGTTAATATTTTCTCTTTAAAACTAATAAAGTACCTATGGCATATGAAGTTTCTTCAACATAAGCTACATGTTCCTGTAATAACATTTTATGGATTTGACACCCACAATACTAAAGGATGGGTAAACACTGTCTTTAATAAGCCAGATAGGCTTGTGTCAAATTTAATCTAATACTATAGGCATTTGCCAGATGGGCATGCTATGCACAAATAGGATAATTTGGTGTGGTTTACATTCCCTTATAAAGATGTTTTCTTCAAAGACTCAACCTTTAATTTTTAGAAGACCGAAAGAGCTTTTCATTCATACTTATAAATCACAATTTTCTCTAAGCCCCATAAATCTCTTAATGTCACTCCCAATTTAAAAGCTGCTGTGGTTACTGTTTTACATAAACTATTTACTTTTCTGCATTTTATACAAACTACATAAACTACATAATCCATATGTCATGTTTCTTTTATGAGAGTATAATATTTAGGTATAACTGCTGATGTATTTGATTTTTTTCCCCTTATTTCTATAGTTAAAAAATGCTCACTTCATATTATCTTTTAGGATATAATGTATTGTTATGCTTCTAAGTCTATAAAAATCAATAAGATATAAGTTGAAATATGAACAGATACAAATGCTAAAATCCCATTAAGAAGTCACAAATAATCTGCCTGAAGTATTGCCATTGGCATACTTAATAGAAGCAATAACTCTAGTGAACTTTATACTACTGTTGCTCTTACCAAATATTAGTATACAGTTAATGTCAACTTTGAATCATATTACAGACGCTGTACTACGTGATACGATTGGATTGAAATAAACACTTCGAAAGCATAAAATCATCTAAACTACAAAATTATGTGTGGATATATCCCCCAAATGCTGTTTTCTTTTGTTCAGCAAGTCAAAGAATATTGCTTCTGATAAGGAGGACCTGAAACTATCACTTACCAGAGGAAAGGTCCAAAAATACCACATGCATTGTCTCTTTGGTTAGAATCAAACTAATTAACTCCTGGTTTCACAAAAAAAAATTTAATTTTAAAAAAGAAAATTAAAAAGCTCAACAAGTGTTCATAGTTGACTGAATTCAGCATTCTAACCCTGGAGAAGTAGAATTTTTAAAGTTGCCTTTGATTTAAGGAAATACGTATTTTGAATAACCACAGGACTTACAAAAAATCTTTTAAAAGCCAGTGCTTTATTAGAAAACAGTGAAGAGTATATTATCCCAACCCCCCTCAAATAATTACTTGATAGATCCAGAGAGAACTTGCTTTAGGTGTAGCATGCAATTATGTCATGTAGCTTTTTGCATTTTCCAGCTGTTAGGAATCATAATTTTAGAGCTAGAAGATCCTTTATAGCCCACATCCACAATGCCCCCCCCTTTACAAATGAAGAAATTGAAATCCAAAAGGCTAAGATCACGATGAAGAAGAGGCAGATGAGAGTTTCAAACCAAAGTCTCTCAGCTCCCTAATCCCAGATGTGTCCCTTACACCAGGCTGCTTCAATGACAGTAGATTTGAGGACCAAATATGGCTCATGGGAGTGAAAGAAGCAAAATGGAATCCAGAAAACTAAAAATTTACGAAGCCTTGGAATCTTCTCATTTATACTTCACAGAAAGCGGCATACTTGTTTTCCCCAATTTGAAAAACAAATAAAAGCACTGGGGACTCCACATCTAGTTTCTGAGAATAAGAAAAATGTCATACCAAGGCTACAAAAAGAGCAAAGGTTAAACACGTATGTACACATAGATGAACTTACATCTACATGAAGCCAGAGGCCGTGCCTCTCACAGATGTCTGCTATTTCATCCAGAGGGTCAAAGGCTCCCAACACAGTTGTACCAGAAGTGGCACAGACAAGAAACGGTGCTGCCCCCTGTAAGAAGGATCCAAAACACAAAGAGAATTGTCACCGTCATCACTAAGCTTGTCCTGTAATAGCTGGAAAATATAAAGGGTTATGCATCCAGAGAGTTACATGGCTTTTTTTGGAGATAGTCACTAATTCAATGGGTGTTTTTAAATGTTGTCAATATGTGGTCTCTTGGCATTATAAACATATCAAGTGTACATCTTCAGTATTCTCAGTATTCTTCAGTATTCTCATGTTCTTTTTGTAATGTTTTGTTCTTTAAATTGTCCAGATAGAAATTTAATAACTTCAGATGCAACAGCAAACTGACATTTTGTATGACTCCTAATTTCTTCCTGAAAAAAATTGTGCCATCACTGTCACCTTCTCAAAAAAAAAAAAAATTGGAATATGAACAGAGCTCCAGGAGTAAACCATGCAGGCCTGTTTGCTTGTCTCCTTGTAAAGTAAGTGCAGTTATAAAACAAAGAATGTAGAATTATACTCAGGTACAAATTCAGCATCAGAGGAGATAAGGCAACCTCACTGAGACACCTTCTCCAAAACAGGTGCTGCAACAGAGAAATCCATTGGCATGTGCTGGAAAAGAAAATCTGTATTACTTCTATCATGGTGATTCCTCCTCACATAGCTGATGACTGCATCTCGTGGAGTGAACAGGCGCTGGTGGGAAATAGAGAAGGAAAGGGAGAATGTGGGTGCACACACACAGTGAATGGTTATCTCGGTCAAGCTAGTCACACGCTTTGTCCCCATTAAAGGACTCGATGCCAACCAGATCGAGGAAGAGTACATGAGGTTGTTTCCACCTGGATTGCTCCAGGATGGCGGCAGAGATGTGTTGCTCGCTGTGTAGGTGCCCTGCAAGAACACTTGCAGACACATGTGGGGGTGAGGGGAGCAACTAGAATATGAAGATTCGAGAGCACCTGAGAAATGGCGACAAGAATGTTTATTGCCTCTAAAAGTCGTTTACTGCCTCTAAAATTTTTTTTTCTCCATTTAGCATGGAGCCACTTTTTCCCCTCAGTTTTATAAAGTGCGTGCTCATTGCAATATATTTTTATGTGCTTTTATGCCAGGGATTATTGTGTTTGAACCAAACTCTTTCCAATTTAACTGACTTTTGACAGAAAGATGTTATTTCTCAATGGAAAGTGGGGCAGAGCAAGAATATATGGTTTGCATCTCTAAATTGAGACTCATACAGATTAAAGTGATGGTATATAACAAATCCATTTGCCATCTTGGGAGACAGCTGTGTCAAATAGAATCAATTCCATCTACCCAAAACTTGTAGAGCCAAGTCAGTAGGTGACAGAGCCCTGGAGAAACCAAAGGTTTTGAAAATTCTTCCCTGTATTCAAACTACTGACAACTATGGCTTTATCGTACCACTGACCGAAAGGAAATAAGACCAGCTTTACATCAATCATTAAAATCATTAAAAGCAATAGAAAAAGTAATTTTCTAAAACCATTTAAGGTGTCTTTAATGGTTGGGCTTTTCCTCATAAACTATATGACATCCTGACAGTCATGAGAAAATACCTTTGCAAGCTATTATAGTCTATTAATGAGTTTTTCTCAGCTTTTAAAAAAGATCTCACTATTATAAATACAAGCCCAGAAATTAAACTTTTGCAATCTGGATTTAACCTTCTAGATTTTCTTCCCCATATCTCATGCTGTTAATGAGAAAATTCAGTAGAAACAGTATTGATTGCATGCTGCCAGTGAGCTGTATTGCCTAAGAAAATTTGTCATTTCTCACACTCATAACTCTAACAAAATGTCTCTAAATATTCAGTGTTCATCCTAGTTTGAGCTTGTCAGTAAGCCCTTTAGAACCTATGATGCTTTGTGGTTTTCACCATCTCTGTAATGACATCAAGACAAGGTCACCGTGCAACAGTTTTTCAATGGATTGTCATAGGCCAGGGAGTTGAATCCCAGCAGAAAAAATAGTTGATGTACTACTATTCCTTATATCTGAAACAACACAAGTTAAAAGCTTGAAACAAAACTAGGTCTGAAGCTACTGAGAAAAATGAACCAGTCATCATATATTATTATCTCAGAATGGATGCAAGGTTTGTCCTTGGTGAATCCAGGCTCAAGTATTAGCTGACTTGAAAGAAAACTGAGGAGACATACCAACTCTAACCCCATTGCCCTACTTTTAAATGTGTCTAAAGCAATTTTTACTTTTCAAAAACTTACTTTTTTGAGTTCTCAACTTTAGTATTATGTCCGTTTCATGTACTTTCACTGTCAAAACAAACAAAAATTTGAGCGACGAAAATGATAATGACTGTGGTGGAATAAAACCCTCTATGCTAGAAATATGAATTCTTAATGACACTAAAAAAATAAGGATTATCTTTAGGGGATGCTAGGCAACAAACTCACTATTTTAAAAATTGATAAATAAGGGGAAAGAATAGGATGTCTATCCTGTCTTGCTGTGCAGTGTTTCCTTAGGGAAACAAAATGAGGAGGAATATTTTTCTTTATAGCAGAATGCCTGACAATAAGGAAGGAGAGAAGGAATTAGGACATCGCTTAATGAAATAATGGGTCTAGACAATGATCATCAATGGCAGCAAAATCCATCAAGTGAGAAGCTGATGGAGGGTATATTGTGATGGATAGACTGACGATAGCAGACGCCACCAATCAATGTTATTACAAAAAAGAGACACAGGATGTCTCCTGATGGCAGGACCCATGAAGCCTCCCTGGTTTAAAAAAAAAAAAAAAAGATACAGCTTAAATCTCATTGAGTCTCAAGATCTAACTGCCAAATTACAGAAAATATAAAGAACAAACCGGATGGTGCAGAGGAGGTGAGCACTTAGGGTCTCAAATTCTTGATGTAATCCACAAAAATCTATAACGTGGAAAGCTCTACAGGACAAAGGACCTGATCTTTTCAACAAATCAATGGTAGTGGGGGACAGAGGAGGGAGGAGGAAGCCATAGATCAGAAAACATTTACATTTGACATATCAACTAAATGCAATTTGTGAACTTTATTTGAATCCTTAATTCAGACAAGCCAACTATTTTTTTAAAAGGGCAATGGGGGAAATTTTAATATACACCGAAGATTTGATATTAAAAATTATATTTTAAACAAAACTATGGTATGTTTTTAAAGCGAGTATATATTCTTTATAAATATACTCAACTATTTATAGATCAAATGATATTATGTCTAGGGTTTACTTAAAACCAATCTAGTGGTGGTATGAGGGAATGTGGTACAGATGAAATAGGAGCCTAATGGCTGTTGATTACGGAATGGGTATATGAAGGCTTATGATATTAGTCTCTTGGTTTTTGTGTGTGTTGGTTTTTTAGGAAACATTTACAATTTTTTGTAATGAGAAGTTTAAAATTTAAGAAGTGGGGAATAGGGAACGGAGAAAGTGAAGAAGGAAAGGAGAAATAGGGAGGGAAGAAAAACAATCATGACACAATTAATATTCCCCACCAAGATTAATAATATATGCAAATTATTTTTGATAGGAATTTGTGTAGAAAGAAATGAAACTAAAACTAGAAAAAATATCTGCAGTTCTTAGCAGAACGAACTTACAAATTGTTACTCAGAATTATACCCGAGTCAAATCTGATTACGTAAACCACCAGATAACAATCAAGTTCACTTGTCATTGGAATGTTTAAAAAAGAAATGTAGATGAAGGACACATACCTGAAGTCATACATCTGCAATAATGGCAGAAATTTTAAATACAGAAGTTCAAGCCAAATATTGTGATCTAGCATTCCCCAGGGCTAGGTGATTTTTATGAAAACTTGAAAAAAAAAAAAGTACAATAACAGAACTGTAATATTTGAACTTAAAAACATTTAAAAACCCATCCTTGTTAGAGGATGAACTCCTATGAGGATAGATACACGTGTAGCCCAGCTCAGGAGCCAGGCTTTTTATTTTTCAGTAGTCATGCCTGACTTTGTTGCTACCTATTGGAAAGTTACTGGAGAATGGACTCAAGCTCCATTAGCAGGCAGCGGTGGGATGGGTGAGAAGCAGCAGATCTAGCAGGCTTTTGGTCCAAAAAGCAAAATGGCTGACACCAAAATAATGACACTTTTTTTTTTTTTTTTTTTTTTTTGAGATGGAGTCTTACTCTGTCGCTCAGGCTGCAGTGCACTGGTGTGATCTCAGCTCACTGCAACCTCCGCCTCCTGGGTTCAAGCGATTATCCTGCCTTAGTCTCCTGAGTAGCTGGGATTACAGGCATGCGCCACCAGGCCCGGCGATTTTTTTTGTGTTGTTATAGACCCCGGGTTTCACTGTATTGGCCAAGATGGGTTGGATCTCCTGACCTCATAATCTGCCCGCCTCAGCCTCCCGAAGTGTTGAGATTACAGGTGTGAGCCACCGCACCTGGCCTAATGACATCCCTTTTTAAAATGCAGGTGTTAAGGCCAGCCTTGGCTGGAGCCATAGCAGGTGCACAGAGCCATGCCTTGCTTTCTCCAATATTTCAGTTTTAATATGTTCTAGCAGCTAAGGAAGAAAGGACGTTCTGCCACTGAACTACTAGATACAGACCCAACAGGGGGGTGATAGTAATAGATGGGTTTTTGGGTTGGAAGCAACCTGGGAGAATAGGTTGGTCAAGAAATCAGGAATCACCCTGAATGCAGCCCAGAGAAAATCGGTTTGTCCTGCAGATTTCTCAGAGGGAGGAGTTATAAGGAGAGGAGATGCTGGGGCCCTGCTGGAGAGACTGGGTTCATCCTTAGAGTTTCTTCTAGCCAGGAATCCTGAATATGGGTAATTTCATTGTTTTAATAGGCTCCAGCTACCTGGGAACATGAATATCCGGGAAACTCCACAGAACATGGAGAGCCAAGCACTTGGAAATAGAACATCTGTAAATGAGTTTTCCTATTTTAATTCCAACATGCTCTCTTCTCTCTCCCACACACAGAAATGGCTTTGGCTGTTTGCATTCTCTCCTTGCTATTCTGTCTCTCTCATAAGCGCGCGCGTGCGCACACACACGTTATCTCTCCCTCTTGCTTTCTCCCCTCTCACCTCTTTTCTGGCTTGCCAGACTTGCTTCTCCAGTTCCTCCGGTATCATTTTACCTCTAAGGGACAAAGATTTGAGACTTTCAGTTATGTTTTGTAGTTAACAGACAATGATACTGCTTTATAAACCGTATGAATTTTTCCCTCCACCCACCAGGCTTCCGGATCCTGTCCCCATTACCTTCCATCTGTTTCCACAAAGCAAACATTCTCAGTGCCAATCCCAAGAAAAGAGGCTGCCTTCTTCATGGAGTAATGACACTGAATTAAAAGGGACAGTGGGGAACGGAGAGACATGAATACATGGCACAAAAAAAGCATTGCTTATTATCAGAGGCAGATGAAAGTCAGTATGGCTGAGCATAGTCTTTGGGACATCATTGCATAAAAAAGAAATTTAATTGAGCTCCTTAGCATAGTGGTTGAGAACATTCACTTTGGGGTCAGAGAAACCAAGATTTAATGTCAAGTATTCCAGTTACAGCTATGGAATCTTGAACAAATAATATACACTCTCCAAGCCTCAATTTCCTAATCTTTAAAGGGATCATGCCAATAATGCCTACTCCATCTGCTTGTGATAAGTGGGTTAATAATATATGTAAAGGGCTGAGCACAGAGCCTGGCACATGGAACAAACCAGGACACTGGAGGCTGTTGTTTTCCATCCCATTGAGAAAAGTAAAGTTTCTCCTGATGCTACCCCTAAGACTTAGTATTAATGGAAATTTAGAATCTAGTCCACTGCTGACTTGAAACCCTCTAAGGAGGGGGCATGACTCTATCTCAAAGATTGCAATCACAGGCTAGAGAGGAATTTAATTATTTCTTAGAGCAAACAATGAGTTATAGGTGCTGATCAGACACTTGACCAATCTGGTTTAATACTGAACACAAGACTGAAATTAAACACACAAGAATGTGGCTAAAATCATAAGAACGAGAGTACTAATACACAAACCTACTCAGCTATGGCATGAGTGAGGCTAATAGGTGAATATGGAATTAAGTCTGGTCTATTTCATATTGATAAATAGTAGTGTGTGCTTTACATTATTGGGCCTTCTCTATACTACATGAAGCCCATAAAATAATTAGCATGCAAACAATGAATATGTCGCTTTTCATACATTAGTGAGGACAGGTGGTCAATTAATTCTTTTTCATCCCAGAAAAATGAGGGTGCTAAAGGACATCATTGTACCAAAGAAAATCTTAGTAATTTGTAGGTATGAATACATTAAAAGAGTAGTCATGCCTTCACACTTCACTTGATATATTCCCTCAAATGTGGTAATTTTTTCCTTCTTTTGTCAAGAGAGTTTTATTGGGAGCTCTTTTTTTAACTCTGTAAAAATAAATGCAGAAGTAACATCAGGAACAATGAAACCATTCTAAATAATTAATTTCCAAATATCAAATAGGACATGTCCAAAATGCCTATAGGATGCTTTTATTTCAGGTTGTTACAAGACCATATGCATACTGAAGAGTAATGATGTACATGAAAGTGTAATTAATTCTCTACTTGCTCCACCAGCCTATGCTGATTGGCGGTAACCTGCCTGCCATAGCTAAGGTGACATAGCTTGGGTGAGTTATTTCTCACCAGAGAGTTGGGCTCTGGCAACCAAACAGCTATTGATTTCATAATGATAAATGCTAGCCTACCCCACTGATATCTACCTATAAGGAAAATCACAATGCTCTCCCCCTGAGAAATAGCAAAATACCTCCAACCAATGAATCTGCTGAATAAAAAACTTGTAATCAGAATAAGAATAGTGGAGCTCTCTTTAAGTACCTCAGTGCAAATTACAACCCAATGTCAATCTGAGATAGACAGATCAAAAAAAACTTGGCAAAACTGAAGTTTAAATATCTGAAAGCTTCAGAGAAGGAAGAGTCCTGGAAGGGGGAACAAAAGAAGGTGATGCTTCAGACATGCTGAGTAGTTTCAAGGAAAGGAAAAACCTAGAAGGCTGGAATTCAAAAGTAACAACTACATTTAGAAACAAACAGTGGCTGTTTCTATCACTGGCAAAAGATAAGTCGGTTGTTCTAAGACCCAACCTCCCCATAGGTTTCATAAATCTACAGAAGACGAAAAACCTCTCAGTGGGTGTTCCTTTCTATAAAGATAAAATGGCAAGTGCCTACATGAAAGACAGCATTGAGCAGGAGTTTTACTTTCTGGCTCCCACAAGGATTTTTTTTCTATGACCTTGAGCTGCTCAATGAACTGCTGCCTTCTCCTCAGTGTACACTGTGCCCTGGACACCTGGACTCCAATGCTGACTAATTTGATTCTCAAGTTAGCTGGTAGAGAGAATGGGGTATATAAATGTTACATTTTAGAGAATGAAGAAAAAGAGTTTCCAGGGGATGTCTCTAAGAACACACAGCTGGTTTAATTCCCAAAGAGGCCAGAACCAGAAGCCAGATAGACTGAACCCAGACTCATGCTCTGCAAGATGTACTACGAAGCACCTGCTTGCCTGTGGAGAAGACCTGCAATCACATCCCATCGCAACTCAACCTCTAGCTCTCACTCAGCGATCAGGAGGAAGTGAAGGAGGCACCTTAGGGTGCACAATTTAGAGGCATGACCCTGAGACACACCCTAGATACCTACCTCACTTGCCTCTCCCAGCCCAAGCCCTGCTAGAGAGGAGCTAGGCCATTGATTACTGGCCTGGGAGGTAAGAGTTTCTTTTTCACCCTCACTTTTTAGTGGCAAATCATGATCACTACTTTATGCTAATTCCAGAAGTGATCTGAAATATACAGGAACTTTACAAACCTGGGATTTCTATACACCCATGGAATTTATATCAAAGTGCAAACCAAGTCATAGATTTATTACTTTTATTTCTCCAAAAGTTCCCTTCTCTTAGATTCCCATTTAGCACTAGAGAGGCAACCTTGGATATACTGACAGTGCAGAGGTTTTTGTCGTGATCTTGCAGGTCTCTATCAATGGTAGAATTACAATAAAAGCCTAACGCATGCAAAAACACCTTTAGTGGTGGGTACATATATTCTGCACTTGATGGTGCAAGATAGAGATGGAGTAATTTGGGGTAGCACAAAAACTGGAAAAGATCACCTACTAGAACAGTACTGGGCCATGGACCAAACCCCTAAAAGGAAATAAGGGAGATATAGCAAAAAGACTAACGCAGAGTTTAAGACTGTTTAGTAAACACAACCTTCTTTAATTCTTTAATGAAATAGATTGATTTGTTGTAATAAGTAGTAAAGGCAGTCAATAAAATATGAATTAAAATAGTGCAAATGCTATAACTTGACTCTTTGAGAGAGCAGGGAAAGGAATGAGCTGCAAAGTAGTGTTTCAACCAATGGAGTGAAAATATAAATTCCAGGCTACAGTGTGCTCGAAGTGATGTAATTTTTCTGTGGAATTCACACCTAGTTCTTGGTTTTTCTGGCTCCAACTTCTGCTGGCATGTTAGCCAAGGCATATATTTTGCCTCTATTTGGAAAATTTTTGAAAACCACTTAGTTCTGGTTTCACACCCACATAAGGTTTCACTTTTTTTTCACTCCCAATTCACAAGCCCCACCTGTTACTGATCTTTCCCAGGCATCATCTTTATTCTAGGCTTCCATATAATATCTTTCCCCTTTCCATGGTAATTATTCCAGAAGAACTCCAGCAAGCTTTAAACCAAATAAAGAATAAAAAAGGCAAAAGTAAAAAACCTGAGCTGATAACCAGGGAGCCATGTAATCAGCTTTCCCACGCTTGGAAATAGCAGTTTGAATGCAGAAGAGACTCTGCATTTATGATCCACTGGGGTCCCTCACATTGAAATATCCAGGGCTGAAGCATGAAGAAGGAAACTCTATTCCATAATAATCCCAAATAATCAGGTACTTTTTTTTCCAGCTGTCCATATTACCAAACGTTCTTTTGGTACAGAAAGAATGTCTTATGAACAAGAGCCTCGAATGGCTGAGTTAAGAATCTCAGGCTAGATGATTCCTCCCAGTTGCCTCCCATCACTCAACTCCCACTTTGCACTTAGTGCTGAAAGAACCAGAGCAAAGCTCAGGGCAAGAGGAAAACATGAGAGTGGTCATATTTTCTCCTACTGAGGAGAAATTAGTGCACAATTGGTCCTTTTGCAATAAGAATCTAACTTTTGTATTTAGAAGAAAATGATAGATATAGGAAAGCCCAGCTGGAAATCACAAACACTCAGTTTTTTATTTTGCCCACTTCATGTTAGTGACAGGATACCTGGTATTACCTCAGAAGCTAAGAAGCAAACTCATTCTGCCAAGAACCTGGGTGATGAAGCAGTGGTAGAATAGACAGAGGCATCCACTGGAGTCACACAAGAACAGGAAAGGGAAAAAGTCTCTTCCATATAAAGGATGCACTTAAGCTGTGCCATCTACTTCTGCCCACCTTGTTGTAGCTGGATCATTCTCCTAGTAACAATTATATTTAATATTTAAAAAAATCTATTATGTCCCAGATGCTACTTGACATGTAATTACTCATTTAACATTTGCCAAAACTCACTAATCAGCAACTACCGCGTGGTTGCTGGATTGTTCTAGTGGTTCCAGTGGTACTCTGTTCCATGTATTCAAATCCTCTGCCTGGTGACTTTACGGCAAGTCTCCCCATGAGGTGGGGTCTTTCTTCCCACATCTTGGATCTGGGCTCACAGATGGGACTTTGCCAAGAAAACGAGGCAGAAGTAACAATGGCCAGTTCTGAGGCTAAGACTCAAGAGACCTGATGTGTTGCCATGCCCTTTTACACCTGCACCATTGCCATGAGGACACACCTAGACTGACCTGGAGAATGAGAGACATATGGAGCAGAGAGGCATCGCTGGAATCATCCAGGCTGAGCCAGTCATAGATGGGCCATCAGTCAGCCAACCCCTAGACGTGGAAGGGGGCCTAGCCAAGAGCAGCAAATTTGCCCAGCTACCTTGAGACTTACAAGAGATAATATACAGTTATGGAATGATAACTGTATATTTGGGGTGATTTGTTGGTTATAAGAGCTAAACGATAAACTTATTTTTACAAATTTAGGAAACTGAGGCTCAGAGAAATTAACTCACTCAAGGTTACTCAGATAGTAAGTGGCAGAGGCAGGGACTGAATCCAGGCAGCCTAACTCAAAGCCAATGCACTTATCCACCATCTGACCTCCTAGTTGAGTAGAGAGTAAAATAGAAGAGATTGAGAACTGTGGCAAAATCTCTCTCTCTCTCTCTGTGTGTGTGTGTGTGTGTGTGTGTGTGTGTGTTTTCGTTGTTACTGTATATCTTCCTTTTCCCTGGAAAAGTAAGATACACATCCCTTATATTAGCCAATCAAAGCAATCATTTTACAAGGAAATGTGAGTAGAAGACATAGCTGAGATCCATAGTGTTCATCTAAATACTGACAAATAAGACACTCAAAAAAAAGAGATTCACAGAGATAGCACTTTCAAATTAAATATTCTTTTCTTAAAATATTTTTACAGACTATACACTTTAAATAAAGGTAATTACACACAATTGGACCAAGCGTTACAACATCAAACTCCTTAGAATTTACTTTGGAATGAAATACTATGTTATACTGCAGCATATCAGTCACATGGGTATAGGACAAAATCGCATCAGGAGTCCTCAAACAAGCCCTCTTAAATGTACATTCTCAGAAAATCTATATTCAACACAAAAAATAATTTTTACCTCTGCAGATGTGAAAAGGATTAATCTTGGCGAACCAGACAGCCCCTTTTCCTTAATATCAGGACAATATTTGTATCTAGCTAAATTCATTGCATACATATTGGACACTGAGCCACCTGCAAAAACAAAATTAAAATGGCATATTTGTAGCATGAAGTTATAGCTCATAAAATGCTGAATACAGTGGAAAGCATGGATGGCCATGGCTGCGCTAGTCTAATGAAAAATCACTGTGAAAAGCACATGAGCAGCGACCTCCCTGCTCCCACTACTCTGAAGATTTTATTGCATACCCTATTCTCTAATTCCAGAACTTTTATTCTTAGAAAAAAAGATAAATTTTGGTGTATTTTCATGACAGGGTTTTTTTCAAATCAAAAGTCTCAATCTGTCAGCTCTGGACTTAGAGTCAGTACCTAGGTCTCCATAGTTAATATTCTTTCTGTCACCTAATCAATAAAATTGAAATAATATTTGTTGGTCTCTGGCTCCAAAAAAGGACTACAGGATAAACAAATGTAATTCAGAAATCTTCTCAAGTAAAATTTGATTTTAAAATTTAGAGGACTTATAACCTTTCCAAACTTCCAGCAACTGATCAATTCATTTGTTAGATATGAATCCTAAATTGTAGGCATCTCATTCATGAAGTATGTATGTCACTTATTTAGCATTAATACAAAATGTGATCACTCTGGAGAAAGGCATAAGCTAGATTCTTAGCAAGTAGAATTATTAATATCCAACTTTTTGTCATGTATAAATCTGCAAGGAGTTGTTCCTCATATAGGTAAATTTTTGTGTTTGTATTGGAAGATTGATATCAATAACTAATTGTACTCACCTGGGTTAAATATTCCATCCCCTTCTTTCCAGCCAATAAATTCAATCATTTTCTTCAGAACCGCTTCTTCCACTAACAGAAACACTGGGGACACCTCATACGTATAACTAGATGGATATAAAAAACACTTCACTTCTATGACTAGAGTCAAAACATTCCTTTGGTGTCCCAAGAAATGCACACAGAGTTCTATTAAACCAAGTGGCTGCTGAAGTGTAGGCAGTCTTTGGAAATTTATCCATTGAAAATAGAGAATTACTCCATTAGTGACAGCACTAGTCATGGTTAGATAAGTGCCAATAGCTTGTGGCCTTAGGGATCTGCAAGCTGCTGCAGCAGTATTACTTTCTAGAAAAACCTCAATTCCATGAGGAGAGATAAAGGCAATGCATTTGCATCCTATGTATTAGCCATGAGCAGTGGCCATTTCACTCTTTGGATGCTTGGAATACTGACTTGGATGCTGTTGATGGTCAAAGAAAATTCATTGTCATGGTAACCAGGTTTTATCAGATTACTACCGTGAGTACGCTAACAGTCCCCTCTAGATATTCTAAGTGGAGACTACTCCACCTGAACCAGGGTTTCCGCTACACTCTCTGTCTGTATAAATGAGGAGTGTTCTGTGAGACATCTCTTATGTGATAATTTTACTGCAAAGCACTACCCAAATCCCTTGTCAGTGTAGGATTTGTTGCTTGGGCTGGAATGCTGTTGTCTCAGAGCATTGCTGTTTTAGCCCCTTTAGAGATTGCCTTAGCTGCAGGGAGCTACCTCCTCCAGGGTCACACCCCTTCTTGTGATGGTCTACACCAGATGACTGCTGGAGATGTAAAGGCCTGGCTGTCTGGGCCCAACTGCAGACCACTCCTGAAGGGCCACTGTAGTTCCAGAGATCTCCAAGCATCAGCCAAGATTGCCATGGAGGCTGCAGGGCAACTTGCCTCCTATCCCTGCCCTTTCTTGCATCCTCCTCCTCCTCCTCAGGTCACTCATGTTGATCCCAAGGGTACTCCTTAATAAACATCCCACTCACTAAACACCATCTAGAGCAGCATTCCTGGGAACCTACATTGCAACAGTCACCATGCCTTGTTTGGTAGTGTTTGAGTATTTTCTCTCTCTCCAGACAACTTGAGGGTGACTACATATCTATGATCTCCTTCTCAATTAAGGGATTACATTAAATTGTATCTGAATAAATGTGTACTCTAAATGTGTAAGCAGACACATTTAGATTTATAGTCACAGAATTTAATGCAATTATTTTAACATCTGGAAAGGAAAACTTTAGGATTGAGGCCTAAAAGTTGGTCATCTATGTATCACCTACTATTTATCACCTACATATGTGTCAAGAACTCTACAGACATTATGCCATTTTACAAATATAGATTCGGCCGGGTGAGGTGGCTCACACCTGTAATCCCAGCACTTTGGGAGTCTGAGATGGGTGGATCATGAGGTCAGGAGTTCAAGACCAGCCTGGTCAAGATGGTGAAACCCCATCTCTACTAAAACTACAAAAATTAGCGCCACATGGTGGCGGGGGCCTGTAATCCCAGGTACTCAGGAGACTGAGGCAGATAATCATTGGAACCTGGGAGGCAGAGGTTGCAGTAAGCCGAGATTGTGCCACTGCACTCCAGTCTGGGCAACAGAGCAAGACTGTCTCAAAAAAAAAAAAAAATTCTGTTTTTCAACCATGTTATGAAACCAGTGTACATACATCAAAAGTGTGGGAAAAAAACATATATATTTATGTGAACCTACAAATATATATAAAATAGTTATTCACTTTTTCATAATAAAAGTATTAAGCCTGTCTTTGAAAACTGGCTCAACTGTAAACCTAGGAATCAGCCTGGAGGTGGAGGGGAAGACAAGATAGAACACACTCGTGGGCTGGCATATTTTGAGTGGATGGTTTAGCTTAGCAGCAATTTAACACTTCTTTAATCTGAAATATTTAGAGATTTTTGAACTTAGATGAAGAGTTAGAAAACCTGGCATATACAAGAAAAAGATTGAGAAAGGTATGTAATTTTACTGTCTCTTCTGACTTACCCTCACTGTGTAACTAATTGTAACCTGGTATCTGCTCTCATCTCTCCAACAAAACATCCCTAAAGTTGCCAGTGACGTCCATGTAGCTGATCCAGTGGACGCTGTTTAGGCTCTTAGTTGAATATTCAACAACATGTGACACTAGGCACACTCTCCTCATGGCTGCCACAGCTAGCCTTTTAGTTTTTTCTTTCTATTCTCGCCATTGTAAGCTGACCCTGTTCTTCCTAACCATTAAATGTTAGATGTCCTCAACGCCCAGTCTTGAGCCCTCTTCTCTCCCCACTCTATACTCTGTCCCCTGGGCAGTGGTTCTTTATCTTGGCTTCCCATTGAAATCATTTGTTGAACTTTGTAAATATATCAATGCATGGGGCACAGCCACAGAAATTCAGATTTAATTGGCCTAGGTTGGCACCCAGGTATCAATACATTTTTATAAAATTCTCAAGTGGTTCTCATGAATAGTCAGGGTGTTGAATCACTGACATAGAAAATCTCATCCACGTCCACCATTTCAATTACCATCATTTCACTGATAATTCTTAAATTTATACCTTTCATATAGACAACAGAATTCCAGGCCCATATATTTCTCAGCTTAGTTCCTATGTATTCTTGGGTATTTTAAAGTCACTGCAAACTCAAATGCCCACAACTGAAAAGGATTGCTTGCTCTTGCCTCCTTCACCATATACCTGAAAACCAGTTCCCTCTCCCTGTGCTTCTTATTTCTATGAATGATATGACCATGTACCCAGCTATGAAAGCCAGAAACCCAGCCATTGTCCCAGAAACCTTCTCCGTCCTACCATTATTTCCAAGATGTGTATCCAGTCCTTTCTGTTTTATTTTCTGAACTCATTCTTTCCCGCTCTATTCCTACCTCTTCAAGTCCAAGCTACTTTCCTCTCTCACTTGACTAAGTAATGCCCTCCTAACGGGTCCTCTCCAACCTATTTATACTTTTAGAGATATTTTCAATAAGCAAATGGCACCTAGTGATTTAGAAACCCTCAATGGCTTTTTGTTAAATTTAGAATGACTCATAAACATGGTCACCTGCGCCCTGTATGTCTGGCTCCTGTCTTTCTCTCTCTCTCTCTAGTCTTATTCTCCACTACAGTCCTTGTAACTCTCTCAGCTATACCCACACTGACCTTCCAGTTCATAGAGAATGGCATGCTGTGTCCTACCACAGAGCCTTTATACACATCATTCTGTCTATTTAGAACTCATCCCTCACCGTATTACCTAATAACACTTATTCTTCAGTGCCGACTGTCACCTCTGCAGAGCACACTTTCCTGAGCTTCCAACTAGGAAGAATTGCCCCATTCATATTAATACTTAGAATACTTTGTACTTTTCCTTCAGATGAGAGTTTGGATTTTATATGAATTTTTGTGGACCACTTCGATTAGCATTTTTATACCAGATATTATGCTCCATGAGGGCAGAGTCAAGGTTTATTTATGTTCAATATGTCTCTCCATCACTTAGCACAGAAAATGGCTTTTCATGCAGGAACAAATAAAAAATTGCCCAATCAATTTTCTCATCTGTTAAGTGGAGATAATAACTGCCCTTTCCATCTCACGGTACCACTATTTAAATCAAACAACTATTTGAATCTGATAAGTATCATAAAACTATTCCATTATTTGCGATGGCATTATGCAAAAGAAACCATTAAATAGAAAATTTTGAAATAAAATTTCATCTAAAAAGTCTCTAATCCACATTTGGTGTAAAATTTCTATAGCATGGCACTTACACACTTGGATTCAATGCTTCAGTCATAAATCGGGCCACCAAGGAGTAGTAATCAAGTCCAGCATACAATTGGTTGAAAAATCTTGGGTGGTCTGCAAATTTAAAACAGAGTATTCATCTATGCAGCAATTAAAAAAAAAAAAACTGATACAGCATTAACATAAATGAATCTTTCAGAAAATGAAAGCAGACACACAAAGAATTATATATAACATAATTCCATTGATACGGCATTCAAAATCAACAAAGCTAAGGAGATGGTGGTTAGAATTGTAGGTACTTTGTGGAAAGAATTATGGATTGGGAAGGGACTTCAGAGAGCCTCTGGAGTGCTAGAATTGGTCTATATCTAGATCCAGGTGACGGCTTCATATGCACAGCTATGTACAAATTCATCACGCCAAGCAATTATGATTTGTGCATTTTACTGAATATAAATTATACCCCATTTTAATAAAAATCCAAAACAGGATCATGTACAAGGAAGAACATGTTGAAGACTCATCTCAGAGCCCTTTCTGCTGATCAGTGTTTCTAAGTAAAATCTGAGTTGTCTTTTAAGAGCTTTGATTTACTTGCTCCTCTTTTTTACAACCCAGACCCAAGCCAGAACCCTTTAAATAATTATTTGAACACTGTTTGTCCAAGGATCACAGAGTACTGCCTTTTTTTCTGAAAATATCAATATTAACTTCTCACTTCATATACATTTCACTTACAACAGAGTTCACCCCAGGCTATGGCACTGAGCAGCCTTTTCATTTTTCAGATTGTACCCATGCGACTGGCGGTATGTAGATGGAGTAAGATGTGACTCACTATGCGGCTTATGTACACTTCTGATTCAATTTGCTTCAAATGCAATTGCCTTTAAGAGACAAACATCTTGTTCCAGTTTTAATTTTTTCCCCTCCTATAAAAGGTCTCATAAAGGTTCTTGGCTTTATACCATGTGAATAATCACACCATACACCCGGCTAACTGGCTTGACATTCTCAATCACAGGAAGCTCAGCATGACAGAATAAATAGACAGGAGGTCTATTTCTACATTTGAGTATTTGGGAATCATTTAATTTGGTGACCTCTCATTACAACTTACAGCATCTGGCTTTAATTTATTTTAGTTTTTTTTTTCTCTTTAAACTAGGGGTTCAATAAAAAACAAGTCTCAAAAGAAAATGTCTTTTCAGCTTAAACGTGGAAAACTTCCTCTGATCTGGCAAAAAAAAGGAAAACAAACAGGCACTGCTACAAGTAATTTTAATAAGTTTTTTTTAGTTCTGTGTTAATTTATGGTTGATTTCCATGGTAACATGGAAAATATCCAGTAAACTGAAAAATCTACTGCATTAAATGTCATTCTACACTTTTGACATGCACTGTAATAATAAGATACATATCTCTGCTTTTGAAATGCTAACTGGGTTTTTGATACATACAGTAGACTTTCCCAAGGGAATATACTCCAATTATTTTTAGCCAGAATTTTATTATGTTCTTTCCACTAAATTTTAGTCCAGTGTCAGAATTTACAAACTAATGCCTGTATGGTCTTAAGCACTGGATTACCTTTACATTACACTGAGAAATATTTCAGAAGATTATTCTCCCATTTTTGAAACTTGTTCACTGGATGAACAGGATATTAACAGGTAAGTTGGAATGCGCCTCAGTGTAAGACTGACGTCCTATCACTGCATGTAGAAAGTTCACAGTTATGACATCACTGTGAAATAATCTCATCAAAAACTTGGAATGTATACGTTTGTCTTATATCCATCTAAGGGCTTTTATTTTTTATTTTTATTTTTTGATACTGCCAGATTTGATCAAATAGTTTGGCAGTTACCAACTGCTAAGAGTTAATCAGTGTCTTCCAAATCTATTTCTGTTTATATTAAAGATACCTTTTGAACACGTTTTTTTGCATACTCTGGGCCATCAAGACTTAAAATCCCTTAACGAATATATATAATTAAAATACTATTTGCCACTTTGGTCTAACATAAGAAATAAGTAACAGTGATAATATGTGATCTCGATTACAAATAGTACGTGGGGGTTGGCAAGGAGAAGAGGATATTTACATACAAACACTAACATCAACAGTTTTCCTATCAACTTATCTTTGGCCTTCGCAGTGGATCTGGATTAGGAATTAAAGGGACCATTGCAAAAACGTCAGAACCACTAATTTTTTAATCCAGATTTCTCATTCCATAACTATCGCTATACTCAGCTTTCAGAGGTAAATAAATGCTTTACAAACATAAGAACTTGTCAGAGGTACAGATCAAGGAAGTAAATTAAAGTTCTTACTAGTTTTGACGCTGTAGCGTATGACATCCCGACAGAGTTCCAATAGTCTATGGGGTGGCTCGCCTGAGTCTCTCATCTCCAAATCAAGAAGCTGTTTCAGTTGCTCAGGAGGCCTCCATTCACACACCTGGAGATTCAACCACAACCCAAATTGAGTATCCACCATAGCCAGGTATTGAGAGGATGTTAGAAACATGGACTCTACCATTACAACGTCTGGGCACTGGGAGATTTAAACATGCAACTATAGTTCAGACGAAAAGAACTATGACAGTAATGTAGATGTTGATGGTACCGATGAGGGGTGCCATCTTAGATTTGCAAGGTTAAGGCTGATTTCTTAGAGACATTGATATCTAACTTGTTACGTAGAATAAGAGTAGAGTGAACCAAGTAAAGTTTAGGGAGGTTCTAGATGGAAGTGACAGAAGTAACAGACCAAAAGTAAAATTAAAAAACATAAAAAATTCGGATCCTATGGCACATCTGAAAAATCAAGTACATTTGGTTTGGTTAGAACATGGATTTTTGAGAAACGGAGAGGAAATAAATAAAACAGGAATGCTGAAGTAGTTTTCTCTGCGTTGTACCCTTCCCTATGCAGTCTGCTATCAACCTTGCAGCCAGAATGATCCTCCTAAACTTAAGCCATGGCCATTCCTCTACTCAAATACATCTGATGGCTCCCTATTTCTTTCAGAGTAAAACCTGAGGTCCTTACAAAGACATAAAATGATCCTTTATGATCTGCTTCTCCTGATTTCATTTTTTCTCTAGTCTCATCTGGGAGTACTTTCCTTCTGGCCGACTCTGCTCCTGCCACCCTGACCTCCTTGCTGCTCTTAACTGCATGAGGGATGTTCCCATACTGGGGTCTCTGCACTGTCTGTGCCCTCTGCCTAGAATGTTTTTCAAAATATCCTCATAACCAAATCTCTCACTTATTTCAAAGCTTAAATCAGAAGTCACCTTCTCAACAGCAATCCTGCCTCCCTTACCCAAAATTAAAATCTAACCATTACCTCTATCAATCCCCTTTAACCTTTCCTACTCTTCCTTTTTACAAAGCACTTATCACCCTCTAATATACTGTTATTTACTGTATCCTACATAATCTCCATACAAGTAGATCTTTTTGCTCACTGATCCCAACTGACTACCACAGAGTCTGCACGTAATAGTGCTCCATAAAGATGTGTTGAATAAATGAATGAATAAACAGAGATGAACAAGGCTCAGATCATAATGGACTTTATGTGACATATTTACAGAGTTTGGACTTGGCTCTAAGGAAGCCATTTAAATGTGTAGGGCAGGGGAATGAAAGAATCATATTTGTGTTTGGGGCAATAGCTTTAGTTGTTATGTGGAGATTCTAAATAAAATTTGAAATAAGAGTTTGCTGTAATAAACCAGGCAAGAGAAGGTGATGATCTGGATGAGGGTCAATGCTGTATTAAGTATGTAGTTTTTAAAGATATTTAAAATGCAGAATCACTAGAACTTTAAAATCAGTTAGATTTTGAGAGTGAGATGCATGAGCCAAGGATCATTCTGAGGTTTCCAGCTTGGACACAAGATTGGATGGCAGTAATGGGGATAGCAGGGGAAGGATCTGGTTGGGGTGGTGTGGGGATGATGAGGTGTAAGCATGTTTAGGACAAGGCACTTTCAGAATATCCAAAAGTTATATAGCAGTTGATCTGAGGCTCTTGCAAAAGATCGAGGACAGAGTTCCAGGGATATACTATGATAATATAACAGTAGATGATGTGGTGCAGAGAGAACCTACAGCAGAGAAGAGAGGAGCAGAATCTTTCTGGGCATCACCAACACTTACGAATGGACACAGGAAGAGGAGCTTGCCTGTACTATGGAGGACATGCCAGAGGGGTAGGGAGAATCCTGAGAGTTTAGTGCTACCATAACCAAGAAGAAAGAATGTTTAGGAAAGGAGATGTTCACCACTGTCAAACACTGCTAAGAAGCCGAATTAGATAAAGACTGAAGTGCTCATGGAATTTATCAACAAGGAGGTGTTCTTGGCAAGAGCAGCTTGACTTAGAGAGGTGGGGGCGGAGGCCAGATTGCTTTGAAGTGAGGATGTAGGAGGTGAAGAAATAGAAGGGAGGGAGGGAGTATAGATAATCTCTAAAAATTTTGGCTGTGGAGGGGAGGAGAGAGATAGGGAAGTAGCCAGGGAGTGAAAAGACTGGGAGGTTGGGGAAAGCAGAAGGAAATACCAAGTTGTGCAAGTAGTATGAAATTGAACTCTGATGCTATAACCATAACAGGCCAGAGGTAAATTGGAAATGCCTGAGACAATCAAAAGTAGTGACTACTGGTGCATTCAACAACATGGATGAATCTCAAATGCATTTTGTTGAGGGTGAACAGCAAGACTCAAAGGCTGCTACAATACAATTCCATCAATATGACATTCTAGAAAAGGCAAGTATCAGGGGAAGAAAATCAGTGGTTTCAGGGGCTAGAGGAAAGGAGATAATTGATTAAAGAGGGGCACAGAATAGTTGTATAACTATTCTACTAAAGATATAGAACAGTTCCATCATGTCGTAGTAATAGTTATGACTTCTGAAACTCATAGAACCACACCCCAAAGGGGTAAATTTTTCTGAATGTAAATTACAATTCAGTTTTAAAAACTGACTGATGAAGAATTTTCTACTAATGAAACTAGCAGTGATCATTGCATCAAGCTTGAGTATGTGTCTGCAGGCTACTTTTTAATGGTGCTCTGTTGGATCTCAAACAAGGTAGGTTAAGTTAGTGGTATCAAAACTTCACCTCCTTCCCTGAACTCTAACATAGCTTTCAATCCAACTTCCCGTGGTAGCCTGCACATATATTACATTGTGGTTGACTTGTGGTTCCTTCATTGACAACTTAGGATCTTAAGATCTTCCATTTCTCATCTTATTCGTCCCCTGTGTGAGCCCTTTTTTCCGGGCAAAAAATGGTCCCCGTGCTGTGTTAAATACATCTTGTCCTTTTGCAATGCTCTTTCCATTATTGACCTTCCTGCTTTCTTCCTCCAGAAATGAGGACCCTAAACCCAACCTTTCTCTTCCCCTGCCACTTGCCCTTTACATTCCACATCTGAGCTCAAAGTACCCACTCCTGAGTGAAATTCCAAAAATCTGCTCCAGTCTCAAAGCATTTCTCACATCCTTACTGGAACCCCCACTGCCTTTTCTAATGAAAACATATCCTTCCAATTAGATTATAAATTCTGTTCAGAGCCGGGCCTTTCTATTGTTTTTCTTTGTATTCTCTAGGGCTGAATATAAAGCCTTATTCATAGCTAATACTCAGTTAATATTTAATGACTGAATAAAGGCCAATAAAAAAAACCCTGCCAGAGGAACAGTGTACTCCAAAGTAAAGCAGGTCCAAAGTATTTCACAAGTACAGAGAAGACTAGAAATTATGTAATTATATATATGCTCTCTAGGCAAATACCAAACACCATCAGGATTTTGCCTTGAACATAACTTCCAAATTCATGCATCAATCCATTTTCCTATTAGTTTTCCCAAAGGCATGTTATCAAAACTTCAGAATAAATATCACCTCACATTTAAAATCTCTTAAAAATGATATTTATTTCTAACTAATATAACTAGAATAAAAATCTCTTCCTTACAACATTTGGTGATAATCTACCTCCAACGTGAAAACCAATGTGATAAAGGATAATTTGGTAATTTTAAGAGGCATATGGAGTAGTTAAGAGTGCAGATCATATCCCAGCTCTGATACTTGTGTATAATCTTGGGCAAGGTATTTCCTTTTTTGCCTGACTTTCCCAGCTCTAAAATGGGGGTAGTAAATAGTATCTGCCTTTTAGTGCTTTTGAAAGGATTAAATACATAAGGAGTAGTCCTTAGAACATAGTAAGTACTCTTAAGAGTAGATGCCATTGGCAGTGGTTCTAGTATCAATTTGAATTGAATTTGAGCCTGAATTTGAAATCTATAATCAATAATTGGTACCAGAAAGGAGTCAGGCTTAACCATCTAAGATTTCTAGGCTAAATTCAGACAAGCTCTTGATAAGGACCTTAAGATAAATTTAAAATATCGTCACATCCTTTTCTACCTTTTGCTTGATTTTCATGAGCAACATGAAGAGTGTGCACTAGAAAATGGGGAGCGAAGAGCATTAGAGAGTTGCATAAGTCAGATTACCAGGTTACTTATCTATGTTATTACCTAGGGCAGAGAGTTTCATCCCTGTGCTTCATGGCCTTATGTGATTAAGCTCTAGGGTCTCAGTCAATCTTCCCATGAATGATGACTGGCAGAGGGAGTCAACCCTTCAGGGAAAGCAGGAATTGCCTGAAGGACAGCCTACATTTTTATATCTGGACATCCTTTTGAGACAAAGGCATAGAAGAAATAAAAACTTGGCCTTCCCATTTCCCTTATATTCAGCCATACTGATTTGGGGAACATCTATCTTTCCCATTTCTGCAATTTCTTACAGGTTTTAATTTTTACCTTCTCATTGACATCTGTAGCTTTCAAAACCACCTCTTCCATTATTAGCCTACAGGCCTCTTCAACAAATTTTTCTCCAGCTTTTGCATCTGTTGTAGGGCCATTCAGCACAACCCCATCCACAAGAACAGCATTCTTCTTACTTGGAATCATCTCTTGCTGATCAACAGCTCCTGGAAGCATGCAAACAAATTGTGTTTGAGATATAATCTAATACATCACATAATGAAGCGCAGGGGACAAAATGCATCACTATCCCAGCTTCAAACGGCGTATCTTTTAATACATGAAGGCATCATTTGAGGTGTTGAGCTGATGATTTCTTATGACACACAGTGGTATGATAGAGTTAAGGAAAATTTTACAAGGAAAGCTCACAATTTATGGATTAAGTAAAGCTACCTTATTATATATGTTACTCTGTACTGGGCTGAGTTAGTCATGGAGTATATGACCCCTCATTCAGTATAATTTCAGGTCTGATGAGGAAAGGTGCCATTCACATACACCAATTTCCATGCTAGATGGTGTCTGAAGTTGGGGAAAAAAATGATTTCTGTAATTAGAGTTGGTTCACAAAGCAACTATACCCCTAAAAGAGTATATATTCATTGGCATTCCTACACATGCACGAATGATTAAGTGATTTCCCCAATCCTTTCCTCGGAGACAGCCATTACTCTACCACAGGAGAGTTTAAGATGGAGGAAGAAGAGTTAAGCATTTGGAGAAAAGGATGAGGAAAAATCACTTCAGATTTTATCTAGAATTAACACCTCCTCTATGCTGTCGGTGTCCCCTTAAAATATAAATAATACAATATAATACAATAGTTGTTTTAACTTTCAGAATCTGGTATCCTATAATTAAGGTAGCAAGCTTTTAGCTTCATTTCCTTGTACAAAGTCCTTTAGCATTTCTGAGCCCTAGGATGAAGCTTTGGGCAGAGATAAAGAAAATATCACCTGTCCTTACACAATTTGTTTTCTTTAAGGAAGAGATAATGCATTTCCAGACTGAAATAACAAATTGAATTTTATAAAGATCCATCATGTATTTGATGTATCTGAATTATGGAAGCATCTAAGAGGGATCACCGGGTCACCTTCAGCAAAGTGAATATTGAAATCTTCAAAGGCAAAGAGCTAGCTGCTTTCTTCTTGAACTGGCACACATGAATATGTTTCTCCAAATGTATGTTCCCTCTTCCTTTAGGTGTATGTAGCTGTTGGCCAATTTCTCTATGAACTAGAATACAAAGTTTACACAGAAAGTTCTATTTTCCATTCTTGCATCATCTTGTTTCGCATCAGGGAGTGTGGAGGAGCCGAAGAAATGTAAATGCAACTCATTTTACTCATTCTTGCAGTCACCTTTCAAACACATGTACAAAAAGATCTTCGTAAACATAAGCCCACGTCTGTTTCATGCACACAGACACATACACACACACACGCGCACATACTCTTTCTCTCGTAATTTGTTAGGGATACCATATTTTCCCTTTTAAATCATTCCTTTAAAAAGCAGCGATATAAATATGTCACTAATCTTAATTGTATGTTTTAATTCTATGTTTAAATGTCCCTCTATATTACAGATACTGCTTTGTCCCTGAAAGCCCGTAATTTTTCAGCCATTTTCCACCTAGAGAATGATAGAGGAAAGAAAACGGCACAATGGTTTGTTAAGCCTGTATTAAGTGACTTTAAACTTTTCAACCTTGCAGTTTAAGCACAGGCAAAAGGATGAGACGGAACATGTTCAAGACTGTACATGCCGATCATTGACTAAATGTTAAAAGTCAACATGAAAATCTATATCTGAGAAGAAAGGTTACTGCCTACCCAAAATAGCCCTCCACAAAAATAATGCTGGCAACTCAATCCAGACATTCAACCAATTTCTAGCACAAGCTTTGATTTAATCATATTCTCTTTTCCTAATCAGTGTGTTTCTCCACCTTATAATGTATATGTTCATTTAATTGTTGAAATTTACAGGAACAATTTTACTGTACCTCACACAGTACCTTCTATTTTAAATCCATCTTAAATATTCCAATGGTCTACCCCCCCCCAAAAAAAATCCTTCTAAATATATGTATTTCAAACACTTCTACTCTTAGTGAGGGCTCTAACAATATTAACATTGATCATACCTTAGACTCCACCTTCTCCTCAAAGTTAAACGTTCTGATAAAATTCTATGGCTTCACAAACACTTTAATTCTGTTATTGGCAAACACAAATGGTGTCTACAAAAGCACCAGAAAAAAATGTTACAGGAAGATCCCCCAATTGGGGAAAGATAGAATCTGCAGCAAAGGATCAATCTTTTGTCCTCTCACTGAAAGAGAAACCATTCAGAGCTCCAATGATGAATGTCAGTTCCAGCCTTCACTTTCACATGAAAGGAAACATTTAACATGGTTTAGAGCCAAATGTTGAAGTCCTAGAATTGAGCTTTTAGATGGAAATGCTCTGCACCTGAAGGTACTTTCCTCTCCTCTCAAATTTTCTAGGCCCTAAAAATAGAGTAAGAAAGAGGGCAATTATTCCAAGAACTCTGGTTATGTGAGTAGGCAGTGCTATTATTAAGCACACAGAAAAAGTTAAGATTTTTTTTTTAACCTCATTAGTAGGATTTCAAGCTTTTATTACCCAGAGAATAGCAGCAGCTCTATAGCCTGCTCAGTCTTTCTCTTTCTCTCACCCTGTTCCTTGTGTGTGTGTCTCACACACACACACACACACACACACGATAAAATAAAAAATGTCAACACCCACTCGTAACCAGAATAGCAGTGAAATTTAAATTATCACTGTCTTCACACCAATGAATT